TAGGCTGCCTGCACTCGGTTTCCATGACCTGCGTGTGCGCATAATCATTATGCGAATATTGTACGGAACTGAATATCATTAAACGATAACCGCTCGATTATTCGTCATTAATTCGACTATTATTAACCATCCATTGGGAATATATGTGATAGTAAGTTGCGTTGCGCTAAATTTGCCTTTTGTTCTCTTTCAATCATACATGTTGCATCATATTTGGAATATCAAAGAGTATTTCACTGTATCTCGAGATACCTCCAACTTTACTCGATGTACAATTCCATCCTTGATATTTTACGATTTAACAAACTCGAATGTGCTAAAACAGAGAAGACAATAATTTTTATTACGTTTAAAAATTAATAAAACGTTTCAGTTTCAATAAAACGATCTAAACGTAATAAGAGTCTTTGCCCTCAATATCGCCAACGAAGATACCTATAATTTGAGAAAGCGTGCGTTGAGTGAATGTGAGGAGAAATTTTTTTTTTTACGTGCAGATCTCATACTATCAAAGGTTAACGAATCGTCATCCTCGTCGTATATCGTGTCTCTTACTCGATAGCGCACACAATGCGCCGCGACTTTTTATAAATCGTCACGTAAAATCCTCTTGCTCGTCAGCGCATCGCGCTGCATACTAATTTATGCCGTGCCAAATGAATAAAGTTTCCACATTTTCTTTTTCGTTTTTCTGTTTATATTCATTTTTTTTATCTCGTTGGTCAGATTTTCGAATCAAAAATATACATATCGCAGCGTTTTATTGGAAATTTGCACATGCGGAAAATTGGTAAATACATAGCTGATCGAAAAAAGATCGATCGATCGATTGTGTTGTACAACGTTGATCGGAAAAATATTCCGATGAGTAATTATTTATTAAATCATTTATTATTTAATGGTCATTTAATATCTTGACATTGAATTCTTGATATTTGATGTAAGAATATATATCAACGTGTCGAACATTATTATATAAAGAAAAATCCCTTATTATGAGATAGGTGCCTAATATGAAATAGCGGTGTTTCTGTTAAACTAATGAAAACGTTATCTATTGGTTCTGTGAATTTATTGTTCTTGGATTGAAAACTATTTAAAAATTGGAAAATTCATTATTAGATCATGCCTGTAATCATTGTAAAAAAAGATTTTAGAATTTGGATATCTTCAAGTTTTATTGAGATGAGCTTTTAAATTCTGTTTGTTATTTAATAAGTAAATATTTGGCAATAAATTCTTCATGTAATGATAAAGTAAGATCGTACTAATAGAAAAATATAGAATATGTTGAATTGCTTAATTACAGAAGTTAGATTTGATGATCATAAAACTGTAAGACGTGGAAATCGTAATATAAGATATCCAGGGTATTTTTAATATGAAATAATATTAATATGCTCCTACGTCATAGTGAAAATCGTTGCTAAAGTATAAATGTTATTGTAATAATAAAAATGACAACTGAAATGAACATCTAGTGCCTGTTTCTGCGATGCTTGGTTTCCACTACCTGAAGATGAATCCTGGGTACAATGCATCGCATGCTCATTTTGCACGCACCCTGGTTGTGTATGTTAGAATCATAAAATAAAGTTTTTTAATTGCAATACTGATGTATTTTGTTTTATTATCGATTTCTCGAGACATCTCATATTAGGAGTATCTCATTTTTTGATTTTGCGATTTGCTCACTTTTTACATTTCTTTAATTAAAAAAAAAATAGAATTGAATTAAATTAAATTTTACAACACATTATCTCAAAGCTTATTAAATTCCTTTCAAAATGACTTATTATTTTATAAAATTCTGCCCATAGACTTGTAACATTTATCCAAAATGAATTCAATATTTCATTATAGGAGCCTTTCCTCTACATTTAAAAGTCTTTAGTTTGGTTTGCTATTAGAAACAAAAATTCTAATCGTGACAATCAACAAATCACAAATCAATGAACCGAAGTGATAGATTGAAAAAAATAGAAGAAATATTGTCTCTTAAATAAATATAAATTTAATTCGTCCAATATTTGAAAGAAAATGTCTGATCTAATCGGGCTTATTTTGTTCATTAATTTACTAATTTTAAGAATTAGGAAAAAATGAAAAGTAAAATGACTCGAGATTAAAGTTAATCTACATTATCAGAAATATGGGCATAAACCAATCAAATATTAATATTATTATTACAGTAAATCAAGTTGATCAATCAAGAATAAAAGGACAGATATACCGCGTGTAATTATTTGGGCGGTAAGATTGATCGAATATTGAACGAACGGACGCATCGTTTAATGTAGTCTGACTTTTTCCACTTATTTCCCTCCCTAAATCCCCGACAATCAGTTTCGGGATTCGCATAATTACGTTTCTCGCTCGAGATACATTTTCGCGAGTATCGAGATTCGACGAATCGTAACGGAGAATTCCTTCACGGGGTACAAGCTTATTCGAGCGTGCACTGATACCGTAGGGAGGTGGAATAACGAAACCGCGGCACGCACCGCTCCTTTTATTTGCGTATCCTGCTATCCGAATGAAAAACGGCACCCTCCTGCCGCCGCGCCGGCGCGGCGCGCGGCTTTCTAAGCGTATCACGCCTCTCCATGTTAACTGTTACGCGATTATTCCTTTTTTTCCCTCACGTTCTCGTTCTTTCTTTCTCCATTCTTTTATTTCAGTTGGCATACTCGAGTTCTTCTCTCGACGTTCACATCCAGCATTATGCGGAAGTATAGAATCTACTGCGCGCAATCGGCATACCGATTGTCGCTGAATACTAATGTGCATCGCGACTACTAAGCACGACTCAATCTGCTTTTTTAGTACAACTATTTAATGTGAATGTAAATTAAAATCGCGAATTGTACAGCGCCGACGTCCGGCTGTTGCAAAAATTCACGGAGAATTGTAGTCACGCGACTTTTTCCACACGCAAAATTGCATTTCGACGATATAGGCAATTCGTACTCGTGAGCATCCATGTTTCGCGAATCCGCTTTGGCAGTGGCCGTTTCGTCTCAGTACTGGTATAAAAACCGTATAAAGTCATTTTACAAACCCTATAAACGTGCTAAGCGGACAGATCCGACAGATCTGTCTCTCTAGCTGCGGAAGAGACACGGAATGCCCAAGATAGGTAAAAGTTTTAATCCGTAATCGTGTATCGCTCGTGTTCATTTCGAATTAAAAAAATGACACGCATCCACTTGCATATTTTACGATGCGATATCGACGCGACGTGGTCGTAAATATATCAGCTTTTATCCCTAGATCGCAGAGAAAATAATACACTGACATTTTCCAAAACACAAATGTATTCTTTGACATTTTTTTCTCTGGAAGGAAATATTCTCGTCAAATTACTTTCGTCGCGATAAAGAATCTCTTGATTCAGAAATAGACTTGCGATATGAAGAAACAGACGAGGGTGCTCTTATCTCTCTCTCTCTCTCTCTCTCTCTCTCTCTGAACAGACATTCTTTCATTCTATCAGCTGGATATCGTTTTTGGCCAATGTTCCGTTCAAGAAACGCGCAACGACGTCATTCACCGAGTGAGTTTGCTACGTTGGCTTTGTAACGCGACTCTAATTCGCGGCGGTAACGACCTCGCTGCTGCGCTTGTAACCGGAGTCGGAAATTATACCGACGTTTAGTTTTGCGCCTTAACGAGTGGCGCGTTCTTCGAAGAGATGGTCGTCGGACGATGTATTTCGTAGACCTAAGTATCTAACATAAATGGTAATGTAAATTAACTCAAGTAGTACGTTAAGTTAGAAGCTCTCTTATTCCGCTCTCTTTCGTACTTGTATTCATTCGACGATGCGTTTATTATTATATCTGGTTTACAACGTAAGATGCGAACATTCTCAGGAAAATATACATGCTAATCTTTATTCGATTTGCGTATCTTTGTTCTTACAAATATAAAAAAAAAGACCATTTGACCATTTGACATTTAATTCTCTTCATTTCCTCTCTCCTTTAATTTATTAAAGTTATCGTAGAAAATATATATTTCTCATCTGCCAAAACAATCGTAAAATAACCACTAAACCACTGTCTTTTTCTTAATTTAGAAAAGAAAATGTTTGAACATAAAATCAATGTTTTTAATTAAGTTTTATGTAATTGTTTGCATTCTATGAAGTTTGATGTGATGTTGATCATATTTTTCTGATTGTCTTGTTTATTCGAATAGAAACACGATCACATACGAACAATTCGCATAAAATATATGAAGATAGTGACGAAGTAACAATCAGAAATGAAACAATAACATTTACCCCGTTGACGTAATATGAGAAAAAGTGCCGCTCATTTTTAATTAAAGCCGGCTGCACGTACACGGAGCTGCGGACGTCCCGGAAAAGCGAAACGAGAGGAAAAACGAGCACGTCCGACCGAGTGCAAGCATATAGAGAGTCTCGTTTGCCGGTCACGAACGGCATTCTCATGTCGGATGCTATTATAGTAAAGAATAAAAGTGGATGGAAATACCAAGAAACGACGATAGGCACGCGTTGCATGCACTCCGAACCTCCGGTATTGCGCAGCGCCATGTTCACTTCCTCCGAGGCTTTCCATCGACGATTGAAAATGTATCGAAGAATACGATGCTCTACAGTACAGCTACAAGTACAGCTGGATAGCGATCTTGAATTATTACAATGCCTCGAAATCACGTTCGTACATAAATCAACCGGATCCTTTGCGCAGAAAACCTGAGAAAAGCTCCGCGCACCAGTTTAACTCTTTTTACAAGCTCTTATTACAAGACCATATGATGGTTTTTATCATACGCTTGCTACGTACGAAGAGTAATTTTTAATGGTTCAAGGGTTTTCTTTATTGCCAATTTACGGTATTATATTTTGTACAAATATGTTAATAATGTTTTTATAACAAGCCGTCGTACGTTTTCCATTCTCCGTCCGTCGTTGTGAAAATGTTGGATGACCTGGATGCGTCGATATCTGCCGGTCACCGATTTTATCTAGATATATTGTATACTTCGGATACACTCGCGATGATACTTTTCGTTGAAAGGGTCGAATTAATACATGATCGCGATTTGATCGCGTTGAAACCGCGCGTTAATCCAGTGCTCGTAAGGGGCACAGGGAGGATTAGCAGCTGCAGGGAGCGCGACGTGCAGGGTGAGCGCATATACGTGCGAGAACATAATGTAGAGTACGAAGCCGAGCGATATATAGATACATCGCGTCCGCTTGGAGAACCTCGATACCGACATTATGTGGCGTACCTTGCGTTTAACTTGATAAATGAAGGCGGATCGGCGAGTGTCGTCACGCGACCTACTACCCACTCCCATGCACTTTTTTCCTGTCAGTAGTTTGGTAACTGACTGATTTTCCGACCAGGAGGAAGAATGAAGAGGTAACCGGTTGTGGAGATGGGAGATGGGAGAGAGAATGGAGGAAGGGTCCACTCCAGCCGCCAATCGGCAGCCATCAGCCACCAGCCACCAGCCACCAGCCACCAGCCGGAGGGCCGAGGGTCGCTATCTTTTTTGTCCGGGAAATAAGGGTCTAGAGACAGGGACTTGATTATCTGGTCGACGACGACAGCGACGTCGACAAGAGGCGTTCTTACGCGTGGTCGAGCTATTGTATTACTGATCGTTGAAAACTTTTTTAATCACGTTCTTCCGTTGCGGATACTAGGGATTGCTCGTCTTTCGTACTCACGCGCACGCACACGCGCTTTCAGCTCAAGGCGTTTACCCGCACTTTTTTTCATTCATTATTCATATTTTTCCGCTACCATTTACTCCCGTTCGCGTTCGCGACAGCTCCAAGTTTTATTAATAGTTACGAACCCGACGTCGTCGACGGTAGCGAAACGCGGTCATACTGAATTATGCGGTGTGCCGAACAAGAAGTCGTTTACCAGTTCCTAAATGTATTTTAAATCGGTCACCGACTATAATAGCTATTTGCGCGCATCCCGATTGGGAGTAGTTGTCAATAAATGAGAAATATCTAAATGTCTTCTCATTTCCGTCCGTTTTGAAAAGATAGAGAGAATCAAAGAGTTATATAAAATTTTGCGAGATTGCTTTCTAATAAGATTTTTCAACGAATGATGCATTTCTGTGACATGTATACGGAAATAATTTCATTAACATAAGTTGAGTAGATTTTTGCAAGATTTTTTTTTTTTTTTTGAATTCTTTAATAATTTCAAATATATGTGTCTAAATGGAAAATGCGAATTTTATAATTTTATCTCAGCATTTCAATACGATTTAAGAACGGAAGCACGAAAGAAAATAATGAACAATGAATCCTTTCGTAACGACTTTGTTTCGACGAGAAGTAGACAAAGTACCTGCAATGTAAGAAACAAATGGGACAGCAATAGCGCAAGCAAGAATTATGAGTTACGCTGAGAGCGTCGCAGAAATTCGATATTATACTCGAAGCTTCCCGTACCACTCGTAAAGACAAATAGAGAGTTGTTGAAAAAAGAAAATTGCGAGAACTAATTGAATTGAACGTATCTCGTATCTTTCGCGTACACTTGATCGATTAGGACGATGCGTTCTCGTTGCTACTCTCATCGCGTACGCCATTCTTGCGCTCACGTGCACGCTATATATACGGGTTGCACGCACGACCGACTTTTTTTCATTATCTTCTGTCTTCTACGGGAAATGCTCTCCCGAGAAGTAGAAAAATAAATTTACTTGATATCTCGCGATTTGTTTTTTTTTCTCTTTTTTTTTTCTTTTCCTTTGTCAACACGGATGGATTTGTATTTGTAGGATTGCGTAAACAATGCAAATACATACATATGAAGAAAGATTCTGCATATTTGAATTAATTAAGAGGATTTCATTTTAATCCCGTACTGTGTAAAACATTTTCAACTGACGTTTTGTCCATGCCGTTTTATTTCTATTAATTCTGGCAGAAAGAAGTGCGTTTACGAAATTTAATTTGTTTTATGTGACAAAGATACGATCGCCAGTCGAAATCTCGAAATCTTGCATACTAAAGGTAGGATGCTGTGGATTAATTCTATTAATATTAATATATCTTGATAAATCCTTTTGTGCATTGTTATCACATAAATATGTTTTGCTTTGTAATATAAAAGATTCTGTTCTTCCTCGAAATTTTGAAACGCATCAAATAACGCGATTGAATTTAATACAAATATCATTATACACGATGAATCTCTCTTTGTTTCTGCACCTTTTGAGGTAACTGTCGGAACAGAAGAGTAATTACTGCTGAATCTCATAACGCGCAATTTCTATTTCGCGTAAGCTAATTGCGCCGCTTTACGCCGACTTAACGACGTCCTTTGATTGTCAAGTAGCGGGATAGTGTTTAGTCGAGACAAATTCAAGAAATAGGTAATCTGAAAATCGCTACCTCTCGTCGATCGATAGTCGCGTGTTGTACAGGTTTTATCGCTCACTAATTGATTTTAAAATGCCATGCGATAAAAGAAACAGTAAGAACAGTAAGAAAAGAGTCGCAAGAAAAGACGCGCGATCCGATTACGCCGGTAATCGCCTCCGCAATAGAATCGCTTCCGGCGTAGAAATTCGAGATTTCGCCGTTCGCTCTTTAGTGGCCGGAAATGCGGCGTCAATATTGGAACACGAGACTGACTCTGGAGGATCCCGACAAAAGGTTCCTCGTGCATGCCGCCAAGGAAGAATCGATGTATCGCGGTATAGAGGTATAGAGGTACACGCTGGTCGTAGTAACCGATGGTCACACAGGCGCGAATTTCGAAGCTATACTTGGTCAAAGCCGCTGTTGCATGGCAACGATTCGTTCTCTCCGATTCTCTCTCGTCCTCGATGCACTCGCCACGCGCCGCTAGTCTTGTCAGCTGAGAAAGTCCATGAGATCGGCAGACGTTTCGAGTTTATTCGAAACGATTATTTCGAATAAGGAGGAGAGAAAAACAAGCATTGACGACGCGTATCTAGTATTCTCTTCTCCATATTCTCAATCGCTTTTTGCCTGAACACATGTTACACATTTTACCTTTCGTTATTTGCGATGTACAAGATGTCTCAGAAGATTCACGTTTTTCTCAAACTAGAAGTATTTGCAGTTGTACTGAAAAGAGTAGTCGATTGTGTTTCGAAGATCTCTAAGTTGTGAACGATTCGGAATTCGATGTTCTTGGACGAAATACAAAATGAGTCGAGCGAAAGTTACGTTCCAATGCTTTCAAGAACTCGAAGAGAATTTTAAATTAAGGATTATTAGAGGGTTATCAGAATGTTTAAACGAATTCAATGTGGAAACGCGTGATTTCGGCGACATCTTGAATAATAATTTCAATTGCACTTTATTCAGTTTTATTCATGAATGTAGAATTATGTTTTAGTCAACGAATAATGATTATCCATGTTTTCGGTCGAATTTATGATTTTATTTATGAATAAGCAACCTATTGTTATAATAAAACCGATTGTTCATCGACGGTTATTACATATAGGAATTTCATGATTTCTCTTACATGTATTATTGTATATTCGCAATTCCGAATCGCGCGCGGTTCTCATTGTTAAAAGCATCATCCTGTAGTCGTTGCGCTGCCCTTCCGGACACGTCGTCGTCGTCGTCGTCGTCGTCGTCGCTCGGTTGCATCGACAAACGGCGCGTCGTTGCGAAAGAGTTCATCGTTCCGGTACACAGTCAAAAGCGTCTCTGTCGGATGCACATCGTCGCACGTATCTCGCTGTGGCTTCCATGACACCTGGGCAACGTTCGCACAACTCGTGACGGAAATACCTCTCTCTCTCTCTCTCCCCCTCTTTCTTTCTCTTATTCTCTTTCGTACACTCTTATTCTCATTCACTCGTTCTTTCACTCGTTCGCTCCCTTTTTCTTCGCTTTCTGGAAACTGCCTTCTGATTTCTCCCTACGAAAATGCGCGATGGAATGGAGCAATTAGTAAAGTAGCAGACACAGGCAGAGCAGAAGGGAGTACAGCCTCGGTTGTTTGGCCTGACCGCCGTGCTGCATTGCCGCGGGATACTCTCCTGAAACAGAGGGCAACACTTAAATTTTCTGAAGACCCGCGGCGCTTGGCATTCTCGCTCGCCGTTTTCTATTCTTCTTCTCTCCTTTCCTTTTTTTACGTTGTCTTTTTTGTCTTTTTACCCGAAATGGAATGCAATTTAGCTAATTATTTCTCGTAATTGGCGTGGTTTCTCCTTGGTAAAATTCTTTCCTTTCATTCCAAAAAGAGAATTTGCCAATCCTAGGTGAGTCACGTGACTATAAAACAATCTTAGATATCGAATTAATATTTTATATAAATATAATACACATACACGATAAACTATACAAAAAATAGTCATCACGTAAAATAGCTTACGCCAATGATGAATTAACAATAATTACAGTATTCACATTAAATTAAAAATTTGCAACATTATACAACAATTGTCACAAGATGTTAACGAAAAATCATACGAATTAATCAAATAAAAGAAACAGAGATAAAATATTTCTTAATAAATCTGTAGCTTTCTACATTCGCCATAAAATTTACGTAAGATTTCTCAGGAGTTTTACGCTCCCAATATTATCTGATGTTCTGTTTTTAATGTACACGATCGTTGTTAATCACGAGCTGACAAGAAGCTGGCGCATCGTCTTCGGATCATCGATTACTCACCGTTGAGTACGTGTACAGTGATCGATTTCGGTTGAGCATTACTGGGGTTACAAGTGTACCGTCCCGAGTCCGACGGCTTCGCTTCTTGCACCAAGAGGAAACTCGTCGTGCTGTCACCCTTCTCCGTGACCACGGAGACGCCGCCTCTGCTCGAGTCGTAGCTGATTATCTGGAACAGAGATCGGGCGATCGTTCTTAGACAAGGTGGCGGTCTCTCCGAGTGGATGAGAATTAAGTTGTGCGGTGAGGATGGAAGCGAATGAGAAACCGGCTAGCCAATGTCGGATACAATTTTTATTAGGCAGCTCCGATGAGTACTGGCTATGAAGACGACAAGCTCGTAGAAGGACTCCCTTTCGATTCGCGAAGAGCATGAGGATAGAAAAAATATCGTTAAAAAAAGTATCCTTCTTTCAATGAAAATTCTTAACGTGTATAAAATTGAAAGAGATTTGAAAGAGATTGCAAAGTACATCCCACGACGTTTAGTGATATGAAAGAGGTTTGCCCCGACGTTCGGTGCAAATTACCTCGCTGGCGACTTATGACCCGAAAATATTTCCCAAGATAAATATTATTTCAGGATAATGGATTTTCGGTGATGGATCTCAGTTTATTATTCAACTTTTTATAATTTTTAATTATTCCTTCGAATTATTGGTAGATGTGTCAATTTTCTTAAAATATAAGTATATACATATTTTAATCTTTTTAATTCCTAAGAAATATTGAAGAAAATGAAAGAATTATTTCTGTAATTCTTGTTGCAAAAATAAAACCTGGCACACTTTTTATTATGAAATAAACTTATATTTTGTTGTTTAACAAAAGATTAATGTTTCTCGCATTCAAAGAATACTTAGACTGTTAGAATAATCAAAACATTTGACGAAACGAATGTTATTTAAGCCTGCACATTTACGCTGGAAAATTGGCTGCAACGTCCAAATGCTAGTAGTGCACTCGTCTCAAGACCTCGACGAACGCGCGTCGTGTTTATCCTATGTCTGTTCCACTTGACAACGCTCGTAAGTGTCGCTTTAACACGAGGTTGGTAGAATCTAACATTAGGTATATGCGAATGAAAGGAATAAAAAGCAGAAAACGTTGCGAGAGCTAAAAAGGATTTTTAAATAAATAATCCGCAGTTGGAACCTTACGACAGTGTACCTTCGTCTGAGAGGTACGTAAGCCTTCTTAAGGGATTGAGAATTGTAGAACATCCTCGACAACATGTTGGATATTTGCTTCTTGGCTATATTTCGGTGTTAAAAAATTCGGACGTCATGTCCTCTCAGAATTATCTTGGTAAAAAGAAATGTTAAATAAAAAAATCAATAATCATTAATTTAATTCTTCTTGTACTCTGTACTTTCATAGAAATCGTTTTTTAATATTTCAAATTTTGCTAAAATACGATATCTTTTTTACAATTCAATAAATAAAAGAATCTAAAATTGTTATATTGTTAGATAAAGGAGCAATGGTGAACCAATCCTTTAAGTAAAAAATAACATTTTGTTATTTTTAACTTTCATGTGTATCAAAATATAATAAATCCATTTCTGTGGTTAATTTTTAAGTAAACAATGTTCATATTAATGTATGCGCTTAATAAATAGTACATTTAAATTTGAATCTTTAATACATTTTTTTAATTAGTTTAGCTGGGATTTACGCCGCAGAAAAAATAGAAGGAGTGGGAGTAATTTTCCCGCAACTATTTTGTTATATGCCTTTATGTTATATTAGTATTGTGTTATGATTACAGTTTCTTACTGTTAATATTAATGAAATTATTGTGAGTTAAATCGATTTGTGTCACTGTAATAAATAACGCCATTGTAAATTAAAGTCTATATAAAATGATTACTGTAGGACGTGTAAAAGACTTAATAGTTATGTGTAGTGGAACAGTAAAGCATGTTGTATAGCAAAATACAAGTGTTTTGCTTTTGTATTCTTTGTTTTATATATTCCACCTGTTTAGAATATACGGTATTTTTAGCGAGCGGGATTTATGCCCAAAGCATACAAAGTGCGCAGATTGAATTCAGTGCACTAAATGCAATAAACGCATTATATGAAATATGTACCTTATGTCATAACACTTGTATATGTAGGAAGTTATAATTATTATTTATTATTTCATATACATATTTACCATTTTTCTATTTCTTAATAAAACTTTATAAACATGTTTTGTAAGTTATTATGTCATTTTACATCTTATTTATATGCATTGTTTATAAATTTTTCATGAGCCGTACACACACACACACACACATATATATATATATATATATATATATATATATATATACCTCCCTCCCTTCCCCCTAAGTAGCCATATATCCCACCCCTATGAGATATATGACAAAAATGCAAGGGTTTCAACAAATTTATTTTTTAATATTAGAAATCCGAAATATTTATTATTTAATGAATTTTTTTTATTTTTTTCATAGTAGTAGACAGTACAAAGTTTTTACTGATATAGTTCATTTACTTTAAACGTAGTAAATAATATTTAATAAATTAAATTTCTGATAAGTGCGGCGTATATACCGGAGTTACTTTAAGAATTATTAAAAGTAAACTCAAATTGGGTATCATAATATGATATTATGAATTTAATGCAGTATGTCATAAATAATAGAATTAAAATAAATAATTATAATATGCCAGTACCAGACATTAATTAATGTAGTACAAAAGAGTCTCTCTATTCTATTAAAGAGTCTCGTTGCTTTACTATTATTTACTTCTCGATGCACAAGTTCTGATATTATATTATGCGCTCAGATTTCTTTCATTCACAAAGAGCAAATCTAAATGATTGCATACAAAGCGTAATTGTTTCATTCTGAGAAGAACAAAATGCTTTTTTGAAGTTTCTTTCATTAAGTGTGCAAATATAAGCTGTAGGTACTCGAGAAAATTTAATCTTTCCGGATTGCTGCATTTCCTGCGCGGTATCAAATCCTGAGGATAAGAATATATATCGGTCGCCAGGCTGTTTATCCCCATCGTCCTATAGTCTCAAAGCATGCGATTAATCGGACGAAAGTTAGCGGCCGCGCGCCGCCCGCCGCGAGTTTGATAAGCACCGCGCTGCACTGCTTCCTTCCGTTCCGTTATCTAAACCGCGCGTTGCGGTCTAACGCAGAATAATATGCGAAACTTTCGTTGGAAAGTCCATAGTTAATCCAGCCGTATACATATATACGAGGCGCAATAATGCCAGCGTACTCAGACACATGCATTCATGACGTGCTCTTCTGCCGCTTACGCTTCTGAGAGCTGAACTTTCCTTATCCTATATGAAACGGGGGGGGAGGGGGGGGGGAGCTCGATGTTGGATTTTTATAATCCGTCGGTAACTCGTAAATTAATGTTTCGAAGGGCGTTCGTCTCTTCAGCTGCTTATGCTCCTCTATACACAAGCACAAAATTAAACAACACCGACAAAGTTGTATTTCTCAAACTTACTTTAACACAAACGTAAACTTACGTTTCAGGAATTCATTAAACTTTTATGATTCATCCGTAGAAAGTTTGTGCGTTTTTTGTAACGTAGTTTACGCGAACGATAAACCGAGCATGATCGCTCTTAAATATTTTGCGATAAATGAATATATATATATATTGAATGTTTAATGTGCCTGCGTTGCCGTTTTCTATGTTACTCACGTTCGCGATATACACGAATTATTATTGTAAACGACGTTCTTGTAATTACTCGGGCGAACGATGTGTTTCGAATTGAATTGATTTTTATTTAATTCTACTTGATCATCAGGATGGATAAATAATATCCAATTTTCAGTTCATTAATCGTATAAAGTGCTGACTCTGCATTGACAATTGAATTAAAACAGCGACCAATTACTCACCGATTAACTCTCGTGACTGTAAATCGATCTGAAATAAATGAACGTTACATTTAAACTGAATATTTACATTTTTTGTTCTGTCAGTTACAAAACGTTTATTATAATATTCCAGCTTTCTTTTACTTTCTCTCTCTCTCTCTCTCTCTCTCTCTCTCTCTCTCCTTTTCTCTGATAAAAGACGATTATATTTTATATAATTTTCAATTATTAATACATATTAGTGTATTAACACGAATTTTTATTATTAAATGAATGAAAGTTATATATGAAACGAAATTGATAAGATTACAATTAAGATTAACATTTCTCATCAATATTAAATTTAAAAAAACGCAAACTTTCTTATTTATTTATTTGAAGAAATTCAGAATGTAAAAAAGTCACAATTTATATAGAAATGTCGCAAGAAATTAAAGACTACTGGCGTAAAATTCATTCAATCTACAAATTAATTGTAACTTTATTTGATATTATCAGCAGTGAGAGAGCTTAGCTTAGTGAGTCAGATAATTTTGTCCGAGAATCCGTAATTTTCTCAAGTTTTAAAGACGCATGCGGAAGTTTGTACGAAGGGATAAGGAGGCAAATGAAGATCAGAGAGAGTTTCGTCAACCTCATTACATGTTCTTACTGGAAATTGGCATTCCATAGGATTGCTGGTCGACTTAAACGGAACATCTTGGGCTCAATGGTCCGTTGGAATGGTCCGTTTTCTTCTCTTCCGCTTCTTTACGGTTTAGTACTTTGTCTTATCAGTTTTCGTTCACAGTTTTCATATTTGATAACAGCATTCTTTGTTCTTCTGTACTTAGTCTATCCTTTACTTGTGTTTGTTCGCACATTTTTTTCCTCTTTTCTTTCCATCATTTATTAAATGTCATTTCAAACGCTTTAATAGTCTATTTTAATTCTTATCACCAATCATATAACATATGGTAGAATATTGCAAAATGACAAAATCGACTACTTTGTTGGATAGCGCAGTGTTGGATTATCGTCGCGTGATTGCTAAAAACGTATCGAAATTATTAACAAAGCGGTTGAATGCACTAGTCATATTATACATGTAGCCGCACATTGCGTAATATATAAGTTTTTAATGAATTTGCACGAAATATTAATTTGTTAATACATTAATAAATCGATTGACATCGTAGGCAAATTATATGAATTTAAATATATATATTTCTGCGTATAAAATACAAGTGGATTAAACAAAATTACAATACGGTGATGTCATTAGCAGGTATATTGCATAGGTATGGAAAATGAA